CCCCAAAACCCCAAAACCCCAAAACCCCATATGATTCATTTTAATTGCTGTTAAATAAATAAGAAAATAAAATTTATGAAATAAAATAATAATTAATTTTTGCAACTCAAATCTTAATTTTGAAGTTATTATCTTGTAATCCCATTATGATCAGAAATCCATTAATTGTTCTTTCATTTAATTCTTCCTATCTTCAATTTCCTTCATTTATTTTTCCATTGCTTCAGCTAAGTCATCTTTTCCATCTTTACCATCCTTTATTTTTAAGTCTCGACACATTCCACAGCCAACAGCAAAAGCATTATTTGAACCATTTGGAGGATGTTCTATTCCTAGAGGACAATCTTCTTTGCTACTACATTTAGGTCCTACAGGTCCTTTTCTGTCATGGCATTGCATGCAGTAATAGTTATTTCCACCACAGTGGTATGCCGCTATGTTGCAGCAGAAATTGCACTTATATTGAATGTAGGAGTCACCATGACCTTTAGTCTCACAAAAAGCAATACCGTACTTTTTCTATTAATCATTTCCATAAAATTTGCATTTAGAGCAAATAAGATCCCAAGCATTGTTATTAAATTAAACGAATGCCTAGCCAAATAAACCACCACCAGCTACTGCAGGCTATTGCTACTAATTCTGCTATAAATTAGGATTTTGATCGCACTACCTTAACCCTCCAAAGTAAGGTAATTGGCATCTGTAACACTGATAGTAGTTAAGATGATCGTAAGCAAACTATTCTAAATTGTTAAAATACTAGCTAGTTGGATCCTTCAGTCTCTCATCTAGGTCTAATCCTTCATGCTTAGCTCTCAAGATACATTTTTCTCTTACTTGTTTGTCCAGCTGTTAAGCCTAATCAATAAAGCCTTTGATTTGAGGATCATCTGTCTCTATCCATTAGTTACAAGAAGGACACATTGCATATTTGACATTAATGGCAAGCTGTCCAACCCACTTTTAGTAAACTTTAGATTGTAAGCATTAGCTATGAAAGATATGCTTGCATTTTAGCTGAATAACAGGCTTCTCACCCAGTCCTGAAACATAGCAAATAACACAAAATGAATCGGCATTTTCTCCAAAAGTCAATTCTTCATTCTTGGCAACGCAATCCTCATGTAAGCAAGGAGGATGGCTTTATTCTTGTGCTTTACCATAGCATGCATGACCGCAGGCATTGAAAATAGTACAGCATTATCTGGATTGATTTTTGCACTGGCGTTTAGAGCAGAAATTTTGTTTATCACCTCTAAGAGCCGCTTAGCAAAACCTACATTTCTTTTAATTCCTAAATTTCAAGTATTGATCGCAATTGAAGCCTAGATGGTAAGGAGATTCATCACATGATACGCAGAAGTTAATACCACATTCTGGGCATCTGACCCTGAATCTACTCATGTGTATTGCTGATGCTTTAGTGATTTAGTTTCCATCATCCTTTTTCATCATTATGACTTCTCCTCTTACTAATTCAATCCTATTGCCGCATCTACATTTCACAAGGTTTTTATCTTTATCTAGTAATTCTTTAACTTATCGTTACTATAACTCAGTGATTTTAACATCTCCGAGTGCTTGAATTAGTTCATACTCATATATTTTTTCATCGCAATCTTGACTCAGGCATGTAACCTCTGGGTATGATTCCTCAGCAGCCTTTACTATACAATCCTTACAAATACTATGACAGCATTTTTCAAGAAATAAAATCTTGTCAAAATTTTCCTCAGTCATTTTTTCTCCACAAGCTTGGCATTTAATAGCTGAGTCTTCACCAGCCATTGCAAGTGCTTATTCATAAGATTAGCTAATTTATTTAACAAAGACAACTTTCTTTTCTTCTTCTTCCTCAATTCTGCCATTTGTTGCCTTGATCTAATTTAGTTATTTCTGATCAAACTTGATCTCGTCAACTTAAGACATCTGAGAAGATTAATCTTTGAAGCTCTATAGTTTTATCTAATCTTCACTCATTTCTTAGTTATTCGTTCTCATTCGCTTAATGGATTGATTTTGATACTGCAAATCTTTGTTACTGTTTCTATTCTCAAATCTCTCTTTGAACATCATATAAAGTGTCCTAATGTTTCTCCACTCATTCAGATTATCTTTTTTTACAGCATCCTCAACTTTAGATCCCCATTCCTGGTAAAACTCTCCATATGTTTATTTCATTGATTTGCAAGTGGCGAGATGTTCGTTCAAAGATTTGACATCAATTCTTGTTTGTCTAGAAGCTACACAATTACAATAGAAATCTTGCTCACTATCAAGCAGTTTCTATTCAAATTCCTCTCTTTTACGCTTCTTAGACTCTGTATCCAATTAATTTGGTCTACCTTATTGCTAATAATCTTATCTACTCACTGTTGTTCGAGTATCTATCATAAAAATCTCTTGTCCGTCTATGTCTTCCATTTATTTATATTGATCAAATAATTTTAACTGATCAGAATATAATTACTCAATTTATATCATTTAGATTATCAAAACTTTCGAAACAAATTTTGGACATGCGGGGTTTTGGGGTTTTGGGGTTTTGGGG